CCGAGCAGTTCAGAGATTTCTGCTCCTCTTGGCTGGGCGGAAGGGGCCCAAAGGGACCCGAAGCGTCGCGAAGGGACGTGAAGGGAAGAGATTGACTTTCAAACAAGGAGACAATACCAATTCAAAACTCTGTCACATACCCATTCTAGGGGCAGAGGTATGCATGGAGTCAATGCGGCTGGTGCTCGGCTTGCTCGTTGAAGAGTCACGTCTTGGGTGCCACACCTTAAGGCATGGGAGCCCCTAGTAGCTTCTAGTTCTTGTTACTCTGTCGTACTAGTAGCTACTTGCTCCTGGTAGTACGGCCAGGAGCCCCAGTAGCATCCTTGCTCCTAGTAGCGATGCCAGGAGCCCCTAGTAGCTTCATCACTTTCGTGGTGCTGCTTTCGCACCATTTAAAGCTGAGCAGGGTGGGGTCTCTTGGCAACCCCTTGGAGCTCACCTGCGGATGACAAGGGGCTGCTTTATGGTCAACCTACTCTAGTGCACATGTGCTCATCCTGAATACTGCATGCAAAACGCCACAGACAGTAGCCCCTCAATGGATAGGCACCTGGCTAAGCCCCCCCCGCTTCAATGTGTCAGGTTCACATGCCAAATGTCCCAGCAAATACATATGAACCGGGATCGTGAAGGGTGTACGTAGAAAGAGTGCTTCAGGTTGCATCCATGGTCTTAGAGTCCTACCTATGGCCATGCCCCTTTGTACATGTCATGTATGTTTGTTTCCAGTGCAAGGAAGCACAGTTGCGAGCCAACTTGAAACACTGACTGGGCAGTTTTGGCTTGCTCGGCTTGTTGCGTTGTAGCTGTTGTCGCAGTGGTTGTTAAGATGTCACCTAAGGTGTTAAGAATGCAGCGCCTTGCCCACTACTGGAGCACACAGGGCCTGGCTCCTTTGAGCCACGCCTTGCCCCAGGTGCAGATATTCGTGCCACGCCTCAAAGCGAATGTGTTTTGCACGGCCTGTTTTGAACTTGTGTTATTAGTTTTTGTGGCTTAATTAAGAACAGAACTCGTTTCTCTTTGGAGGGGATGGAGAGGGTAGCTTAAGCAGCCTTAAGCTGTAGTAGCAGGGAAGCTACAGCCTCAGACGTAGAAGAAACCGTCGTATGGTCGAAGTGGTTCCTAGGTTTTTGGGAACACTAAAAACAATATATATATATAACTATTTGTCATGTCTTGGGTATCTTACCCGCGTTTTCTTGCAATGGGTGAAATTGCAGGGATTGCTCTAAATGCTTCAGTTTCTCGGTCTGTGTTTCACATCTTTTGCCATTAAATTTTTCCTGTCTGTGTGTCAAAGCACGTCTAGAAAATCTCGCTAAGGCCCCTTGACTCTTCCGAATCTCACAATGCAAGGTACGGATCTGCCGAAGTACCATGTTTGGCGCGAAGGACTGGCAGAGCATGGGACTGCCAATTTTCCAAGAACATCCAAGAAATGCATATTGTCAAGATTTGTCAAGGGCCCTCGCCCAATGCCAGCTGCATCCTATACTTGTCCATGTTCATACGTGAACATTGAAATGCTTGCCACATCAGAAAGCTCTGCCTGACATACTGCAGAATGTATTAGATGAGCTAAGGAGACCTAATCTCCCGTTATCTCTCATTTCTCTGCCGCCATAGGTTGGTTGTGTGATGGCTCAACCTTAGGTGCCATGGATCAAACCCAGGAGGCGCAGACGGGGCTGAGTCAGAGGCGCTAGTTGGTTTTTGTTGGAGCCTTGGAGGTCCTGTTTCTGGCCCAAACCTGCTGCCTGCTGCTTTCCGCAAGCACGGAGCCGGATGCATTCCGTGCTCAAATGCCCAGGCTTGGGTGTCATTCCCACGAAGCAATTTGCCGCAGGACCCAGAGAATTTGTTCTCCGAAATGTTTGGCGTTGCTGACAATCCCAAACCAGGGAACACGAGCCATGAGCATGACCAGCGCGAGGCAGACACAAGTGCATCCAGCCCCAGCATTGACGCAGTCACGCATGGTTTTGAAATTGAGCAGGATGGCTATGGTGCGTAGTCTGAGCTGAAATATCTGATTTTGCGCTTGACATCAAGAGGCAAGGGCTATTCCCCGGGTCGATAGCTTGGCAAGCGCGGTAGTGGGCTTTCATGTGCACGATGTTGGCACCAGATCGGCAGGCTTGATGCTAGGCCGCTAGGCCAGGTGCAGACCTGACTTGGAAAAGAGACGAGGTCATAAGCGTTTGTACCCAGTTTTGGCCTACAAGCTCTATTTCAGTCTTTGCTGTGATTTGAAACACCTCCACGCTAGTGCCCAGGCAAAGCTGAACCATCAAATCCCAGCCACACAGTATGGCCGCTTTTCGAAATCGGCAAAACAAAAGACTTTACGCTTAGCATTAATATATAATATAGTCTTTTTGGAGGATAAATTTAAAACTCTCGACACTCGAACCTTGCTTATCAAGTTACCTTCAAATTGAAGGCCTTTCCATTCAAGCCACGGTCAAAGGCCACACCTCATCCACAGGCCTCGTGTGAGCGCAGTAAAGCTTGCAGATTGTACTCGTACCGTGCCTACGTCTCAGTGCCTCTCCTGGCACGCGCCTTTTTAGAGAGGGGTGCGCGGATCTGATAGATGGAGAAAGAAGCTTGTCCACCTGTTTTCGGTTTCCACGTCAGGTGTCATGGTGGAAGAGCGTCAAGACGTTGTAGATCTATGTGGCAATGATATGAGACATGGCTGGAGATTTTCCGGAGACGTGCATCGTTGGAAAAGTAATTGCATTTGTTTCTGAAATGCATCCAACTCTACAAAGCCGATGGGACAGAATCTAAGGTGTAAAGCTCTGATGATTTGTACTTTAAACTGTTTCTTTCTCTGAGGCATGGCTTCTTGTTGGGCTGTTCCTTCACATGGGAGGACCTTCTGGCAGAGGCTGAGCTGACCCCTCGGCATGTTCAGGCCTGATGCGGAGTTTACTGTGGCACAACAACCAAGACTGCTTTCAGCTGAACTGGAGTGGTTTCAAGAAGGAGCAGTGTCAATTTTCGAGTTGCTCTAAAGGATATGCATTTGGCTGTGAGGGGAAGTTTGTGGGTTCGACCGGTATTTGAACTTCGATCTCCGTTGACAGGAAAGGCGAAATGTGCCGATGTTCAACACATCAATTACCCTCAGGAGCGCTGGCCCTTTCAAAGGCTGTCACGGTTTTACAGTTTGTTTTTTGCAATACTCCACAACAAGTCGAATGTAATTTAATGCAAAGGACGTATTTGGTTCATTTGTGGCCAAGCAATAAAATTGAGCATGAGGTAACAAAGGTGGCATTTGTTCAGCGTCATCAAATGTGTGAGCAGTGAAGTTGGCAGCTTTTCTGAATGCGCAAGATACTTTTGCACACGAGCTGGCAGAGTGCAGTAGAGTGCTACCGATGGAACACACCGATGTCCGATCCAGTCTCTGGAGGTCATATGGTGGTGTCCATGCGTCCGTATCGTGAAGAAGATGTTCCCAAAGTGGCCACGATCACTGGTGAATACCCTGCCGCGCATGGTGCTTTGTCATGAAGTGCTTCATAAACAGATTCAATAATTAACCAGAGTCACACGATGCACTTGTGTAGAAGATTCACAGATGGAGGCCCTCTAAAGGATGACTCTTCACCTTGATTAGGGGTCATGACAAGGTCACAAAAAGCTAGACTTTTCCCATTAGTTTCCCTCGACACCTAAGCCAGTGGTGTTTGTTTACCGCTTTCTTCAAGGCGTTACCATTTTCTCGCTTAGAAGGAAACCAACCTGTTCTGAGAATCTCGTCTCGGTGAATGTCGAGGCCCTCCTGTTCAAATCGGACATCCATCAAGGATCGGCATTGAGGCTCAGAAGACTCACCACAATCCCAAGCCCACGACATCCACATGTAAACGATCCGATAGTAAATGCATAGTAATCATGCATACATACATCTGGATGAGATGCAGATTATTCAAGATCGACGGAAGTGATGTAGTCCATATAGCCATTGCAGTCTCATCCCAACTTACTTAGCATTTGCTCGCGTTCTGAACTCTTGATCGTTGACTCGACTTGTTTTGTGTGAACATATGTTTGGAACTGTTGTGAGACCTTGTCAGGATCTCGCGGTACCAGATTATGGTGACCCAGTATCGCTTAGAGATTCTTGGAACGAAATTGGAGTGGACTCGCTGTTTGTAAAGCAACATTTACTGGCAATTCTTGGAAGAGACAACAGGGCGCTTGTGAGCTCCTTCCGATAGGCTGGAGAAAGGCAAGCATCAGTTCTTTTTGTTCAAGTGACTTTGCCAGTGGATTTGAGTCTGGCTGGTCCTGAGTCCGAACTACAACTGAGGGATGTTGTTTGATGGCCAAGCCACCTCAAAGTGTGTTGATGAAAAGCATTTGTCGAGGGTGGTACCCGGTACGTACCGAGGCAAAATCAAAAAGAGGATATATAAGATCCCACATTTCTTTCATACTCTACCATAATGCTGTGTAAAGAATGCCACTTTGAGTGATGCGCAATCGAGTCATCGAAGATGATAGAGGTATATTTTGCGTTTTCCCACTGTCTACGAGTCAAACACATCAAGCTTCTTCTACCAACAAAACCGCCGTTCTTGCAGACTCAGGTTTGAATAATTCTACTTGTTCAACCTTGTCTTTTAGAAAACATCTTTGACAACGCTGAAAAGCAGAACTGAGACATGAAAACACTCACTTGGAAGCCATTTGCGACTTGCGACGTGACATGTGTGACAATTTGGACCAGGACGGAGAAGTTCCAGTGTTCTGGGCCTGTGGTGTCACACCGCAGAATGCATTGAAGAATGCAAGACTACCTTTGGCTTCTTGGTAGAACGCAGAGGAGGGCAATACCGTTTAAACACAGGAAGGCAAAACAAGGATGAAGCAACATGATTTGTTCATTTATATATCATATTGTTACATATATAAATATATATATATATTAATCGACCCGTATTCGTATTTTAAAACGAGTCGTCGCCGGCATTTTGTTCGATGCCAGTACATCTGGGCTCACAGCAGATGGGTGGTGAGTCTCCCGGCGGTTCGGGAGGCTCGCGGCTTGTGCACGAGCCGGGTACTCGTAACTGCAGTTGTACTTGCTGTGTGGCTTTCGCGAGGGTATTCGGTATCCCATTCGGGCTGGCAGTACAACTACTTTTCGGGAGGAGAGTGGATCCCTCCTGGACACAACTTACCTGCGGCTCCTTGAGCTTTCACATCGGCTTCGACAAGGAGTTGGTGAACAGCCCCCTGAGCCCCCTGAAAAGTCGGGGGGTAGAGCGGGGGCGGGAGCCCCTGGGACGGGAGCAAGGGCTCCTGGTGGAGAAGGAGGATCCGGTCACACACACGGTATCCCCTGCGGTAGCACAGCCCGAGAGCCCACCTGCTGCCGCCTCAGGCTCGGTGCCTGAGATTGAAGTGGAGGATACAAAGAACTCCAAAGAGAAGAAAAAGGACAGGGATCGCCGCCGCCGTCGGAGCCCCGTGGAAGTCAAGAAGGAGCCAGAGGAAGAAGATACAGCTGAGCCCTTGGTTGAAGCGAGGGCGGAGGAGAGGAGTCCACTACAGAGGTCGCCAAAGAGGTCCGCCACCATCGTACAGAAGAGAAGGAATCCAGCAGGGAGGGGACACCGCGTGCAGAACCAAGTAGGAAGAGGTATCCCGGTCCATCCAAGGCTCCTAAAGGGTCCGGGAGCCATTCGAAGAAGGATCACAAGAACAAGAAAGATCGCAAGGCAGAGAGCTCAGAAGGCAGTGAGAGCCGCTCCAAGGCGGATTTGAATCTAGCCTTGAAGAGTAGGCCTCAGCCGGGAAAGAAAGATCGAAGCAGATCGCGTGGAGGAGATGGGGGACAGGAAAGCTAGGCTTCAAGGCCTAGTGTAAGATTGGAGGCTGACGAGGAGACAGAGCAGGACGACGCAGAGATTGAGGCTGGGGAAGATTGAGAGGAGTCACCAGAGAGGGAAGAGGCGACCACAAGGAGTGTACTGCGGCGGACTCCTACTCCGCCTGATTTTCCTCCGCCTGGTTATCGCGGTGGGCGTTGGGGTGGGCCTGGAGCTGGATCCAAGCCCAAAAGAAGAAGAAAGAACAAAGGAAAGAAACATACTGCTCGCAACGACGAATATTGGGAGAACAGGAGGAAGGGCATCTTTGGTAGGAGAAAATGAGAAGGATGGCACGGCCGGCTAGCAGCACCCAGACGGTTGAGGAGGCCGGCCGCAAGAGAAGCAGTAGAAGACGGTCCCTGGAGAGAGGATGGAAGAAAGTCAGCGATGTCAGCCTGGAAGGGATAGCGGGCTGGAAAGCAGTTCAAGCCAGAGGAGCGTATTGGGAGGAGTTAGGAGAGGTTGCAGGGAACCTAGTAACCTAGTGGAGGTGAGGCTGTCAGGAGGACAGAGGGAGGCAGTTGTACGAGTGATAGGTACAAACAACGAAGCTGTCTTGAAGGCGATGTCGGCCGATCCCTATATGTCCAGATCCATGTCCTGTCAAGGCCTGGTCCGACAACCTCATGCGCATCAGCGAGATCCAAGAGGTTCGACGACGAGTTGAGCAGATTGCGGAAGGAGGCCAAAAAAATGAGAGAAAGAGGAAAAGGTCGGGGCTCAGGTCCAGGGGGCGCAGTGGATGTGGTTCCTCCTGGAGAAGCGGGAGGAGCAAAACCCGAGCAAGAAGAGGAGAAGGCCAAGAAGAAAAAGAAGAAGAAGAGAAAGAGGATCAAGATCGAGGGCGCCAAGGACATGCGCGAAATATACTCAAAGGTGACGGCTTATGTGATGAAGGACAATGAGATGCGCTCCATCTCGACCGGAGACGAGAGGGCTATGAGAAATAGCCTATTTCCTCAGGTCAGCGCGTCGCCCGAAGAGTGGAACCATGGTGTGGCTGCAGCTTTGAACCACCTTGGCCGATGGAAGATGCCGGCCGTTGGCGGCAAAGCCCCCTCAGCACACGCGTTGCGACTCGCTGAAAACCTGAGCGCTCTCGTCAAACGAAACGCCATGTGGGAGGTTTCGGAGTCGGACGTTAGTTTCACGGACTTTTTTGCACGGAAAAATGTTGACTATTGCGGAGATGAAGTGAAATTGACACAGAAGTTATTTTGGCCGGCCATCTCAGAGAGCTTTGCAGAGGGAGTAGCTTCATTGGAGTTGAGTCGTTTTTGCAGGTTAGGTACAAAGGCTTATGTGGAGCGTTTTGATGATTTTTTGTTGCCGGAAGAAAACTGGGCATATACTAAACCGCCTCGAGTTATGATCGAAGATGAACACTGGTTTGATGTTTGCAAAGGGCTGGTGTCAGCAGGCGTGTGTGAAGTATTTCCCATTGATGATCCACCGAAAGTTGGAGACAAACCTCTCCTCAATGGCATGTTCTCAGTGGGGAAGGGCGAATTCAAGGATGGGATCGAAACCCAGCGTCTTATCATGAGCCTGATCCCAGTGAATCACCTCTGCCGTTCCTTGGAAGGGGCGATATTACTACTCTCCCTGGGGTCTCGGGGTTGAGTGCATATCTCCTGGAAGAATGGCAGATCGCCCTCCTCAGCAGCGAGGATGTGCGTTGTTTCTTTTGTTTATTTAAGGTGCCGGAGGCCTGGAAGAGGTACTTGGGGTTCAACAAGGTTGTACCTACAGAGCTGGTTCCCACAAGCCTGAAAGGAAAGGAGTGCGTGCTGGTCTCTAGAGTGCTCCCTATGGGCTTTGTGAACAGCGTGTCCATCTAGTGAACTTAGAAAGGATAGGCCTATGTCCAGTGCTGACACCTTATATCGCATCTAATTGGATAACTTTGACTTGCTGGAATGAGTGGATGAAGGGCTGGCCCAAAAGGTCTCTGGCACGGTGTCCCCCCCAGGCGGAGGCTTTGCGCGCGCAGTACACGGAGATGGGATTGCCACGACATCCACGTAAGGCCGCTGAGCGAGTTTTCGTGGGGGAGCTTCAAGGATCACGGTTTGATGGTGTGGTGGGGTTCGCAACTCCCAAGCCAGAAAAGGTGGTGGTCTACAACAAGCTCGCTTTTGAACTCATTCGACGGGGACAGTCCACCTTGCGTGAATTGCAAGTATAGTGTGTGGAGGCTTCGTGTACCTTTGCATGTCCCGGAGGGCGTTGTTGTGTGGGTTGAACGGGGTCTTTGAGCACATGAAGTCTTTTGAGGGCGAGACACCAGTGGTCAGGTTGAAGCTCCCCAAAGAAGTCAAGATTGAGCTTGCGAGGTTTATTTTATGCCCCCATTAGCCCAGATGGACTTTCGAGTTCCCATTGATGGCCAAGTGACTTGTTCAGATGCCTCTTGTGACGGAGGAGGCTTGTGTGCATCTCAACGCCTCACAGAGTATGGGGTGAGTGCTCTAAACGCGCAGGCGCGAGGCGATGTGGCTGATGAGGAAGACCTTGCCCAAGTTCTCAGTGTTGGCTTGTTTGATGGTATTGCTGCGTAGCGCGTGACATGGCCGGACTGCCTATGGCAGGCCATGTTAGCGTTGAACGGGATTCCAAAGCCCAGCGGATTGTGGAAAGCCATTTTCCTGACACGCTCTTCTTCGACGACATCGTGGAATTCTCCCGTCAAGACGTGGAGGCGTTGGCCCTCAAGTTCAGTTCAGTAACGTAGGTCTTGTCCTGGTGGGGGCTGGGCCTCCCTGTCAGGGTGTGAGCGGGTTGAACGCAGACCGAAAAGGTGCATTAAAGGATCCACGAAGCTCATTTTTCCACCACGTTCCGCGCATTGTGGAGGACTTCAGGCAGTGCTTTCCTTGGGCTCAGGTGCACGAACTTGTTGAGAATTGAATGTGGGCAGTATGAGCTTGGAAGACCGGGCTGTAATGAGTGAGTCTTTCCAGAAAGTGCCTTGGCGCATTGATTCGCAGGGGGCGTCTTTGTGCGGGCGGCCTCGCTTGTATTGGGTCTCCTGGCAACAACAGGAAGGTACTGGTGAAGTGCTCAGTTTAACCAATGCAGGTTTGTTTATGACATCTATTCGCTCTCCAGCTGTGATCTCCTTAGGTATGACTAAGGGGGGCAAATGACAGGGAGTGACCGAGAGCTGCACTCTATCACCCCAGTTGGCGCTCAAATGGGTGCGGCATTGGAAACAATGCAATACTCCACACGCAAAGCTTTGCTCCAGTTCGTCCGCATGGCGGGCTATGTTTGCAAAGTGTTTAACTGCTGTAAACCTCGACTCATTCCAGTTCTGCCCCTACTCTCTGCGGACAGGGGGAGCCACCTGGTGGTTTTCCCGACATGGCTCTCTTGATAAATTGATGGTTGCCGGAAGGTGGCAAAACGGCCAGACTGTACATCAACGAAGGATTAGCTGTGGTAGCTGATCTTAAGTTGCCCCAGAAGGATGTTGTGCCTTTTTCAAAAGTGTTTCACTCTTTTAAACCCGAGATGCGCTTGAGCTCGCGAGTTCCCAAGTGAAAGGGGGACGTGGATACAGAGCTGGAGTGAGGTTTTTTTCCGCTTTTCGCTAACTATTAAGGTGTTCGAGCCTGGTGCCTACGGCTTGGCAGTGGCACCAGGGGACACAGGGGGATATCCTTTCTTTCCGGTTTGGCGGAAAGACTGGATATGGCGCCCATACTAAAGGATGAGTCCGGAAGGGACGGGAATCCGTGAGAGATTCCATTACTCTATTACTATCTATTTTTCTTGATTCACCTGCGAAGCGCATCGAGAAAGAAGGCCGACGAATTTTTATATATATATGTATTATAGTTATAGTTGTGTTTATTGTTCAGAGACAGCTGGTGGGCCGCTGGGCTCAGTCGGAGGTGGTGGAATCTCTTGGGCTTACTGAGGTGATCACACATGCGCCTGGCCGCATGTTTGTTTGTGACGTCCGCAACCATGAGCTGAAAGATTGGCCGGTGCCTGGTGAGTGGTCAGCTCGCCCCGGAGAGTGATCCAACTTGAGTCGCACGTGGACAAAGCGCCAGAAAAGAGGACTTGTAGCTGCTTGATGGTCCTTGTACTCCAGATTTAACGTTGCAACTTGATGTCAATGCTTGACCCTCAGTCATGGCGGCGAAACAGGGGCAACTTGATCATGACATCTGCTACCTTCAGCGCTGGCTAGCAGCACCAGATCTCCAAAGAAGTGTGCCAAAACGCGCCATTTTACTCAAACATTTCATACCTCATACTCGACTTCTTTGATGGTCAAGAATGCATTATATAGCCCATCGGGACCTTTAAAGAACCGCTTTTCCAGAATTGCCAATCCCAAGGCCATGCACATCCATTCAGAATGAGGCAGCACCTCCACTTGCGCGAGTCCCCAGTTGAGTTTGGTTCCACCGCCTCCCTAGCCACGTAGTGTGTCACCGATAGGCTCCAGCCTCCGATAGACTAGTCTTGAGTCACAGGAGGAATATGGAAGATTATGGAAGAATGTTTTTGCAAGTTCTTTTGCAAGGGTGTGGTGAAGAGTCTGAATCAACATGACAATGGCATGAATCAATCTTGAAATTTGGATGCGGTTTGCGTTCAGCATCCTGAGCATGGTTTCGTCTCGTTTCGCATTGCGAGGTGCAGAACTTGCCCTCAACGCTGCCTGGCATATTTTTTCCTACAAAGCTGTTAGTAGATTTGTAGTATGTAGCAGATACAATTTGGTTGCCCTTCCACTTTGACTATATATACACGTATCAAAGCTTTTGCAAATTGCCACCAAACAAGCAGCACTGCGAACAAGCAGCTTCAAGAAGTCGGTCATGCGGCCACACATTGTCAGAAAAGCTGCAAGCTGCTAAGAGCATAGCAACTCCACCTGCAAACAAGGTCAAACAGAGGAATTCAGAATGATTGCAGGTCTGACTAGCAAAACTAGTGAAGGATGGCCCTTGCTCAAGTTTTGGCTCGGAAGAGGTGGAGGTAGATTGGAGCCCCTGTTTTGAGGGAACAACTGCTACATCCCAAAGTGGGCGAAGAAGGTCGACAGATGGACATTGGAACCATCCAGTGTCCTCCAAACAATGTGAGAAAACAACCCGTTCGGTGGAGTTTTTGCATTATGTGCGTGCTCAACACATGAAGATGTCGACCACGGCTCAGGTTCCTCTAAAGAACATGATGGACACACGTTTCAATGATATGTTTGTTTGTTGTCATGTAGAATCACTCTGAACAAGAATTACATAGTAATAGTAGAATATATTTGCTCCAGAGATTTGCTTGTGGGAACGGAGCGAGGGTTCAATGGGAACACATATATATATGATGGAGAGTATGTGGGTGTGTTTACTTATTAGAGCATGTGTAGTCTGGGCCACGGTTCAAACCAGCCCCTCGGCCACCCGGCCACTGTTGAACCATTTGGCAGCTATGTTGGGCTCATGTTCGGTCATGTTGGGCTACTTAGTGGCTATTTTTGGGCCCACCTTGGGATCATGTTGGGCCATTTGGAGGCTATGTCGTGCTCATGTTGCTGTTGGGCTACTTCGCCACACTATTAAACACATTTAAACTTCTCTGACGCGTCCGGGTGTGCAACATCTCTTCTCGAAACTTGCGTCTCGCGACCTCTTCGACCGGCCTGGATTTGTGAGGGCTTCCAAAGTGGCCTCAGGGAAGCTCAAACGTAACTTGAATTTATGTGTCTGGACAAAGTAGCCAAGCATGGCAACTTCAAACAAATCGTTCCAAACACCCAGAGGTTTGGACAGACTGTTGCTCTCTGCCGACATTCCGGAATCCATGTTTTTCTATTGAAGAGAGACGATCTGATGCTATCGTTTCTTTAGGGTCTCTTGGGTTTGGCTTAGTGCTTTACTTGCTTAGGGTTTCTTTGGTCTTCGCTTCTCCAGGGTTTCTTTCAGTTTCGCTTGCGGGTTACGCTTCTTTAGCTTAGCACTGCACTTCTTCAGGGTTTCTTTGGGCTTGACTTAGGGCCTCATGACTTTAGGGTTCTGTGCCCTTGGCTTTGAGCTTCACTTCTTACAGGGTGCACTTTTTTAGGGTCTCTTTGGATTTGGTTTGGGGGGTCTCACTGTTTCAGGGTTTCTTGCATGCTTTGTATATCAGTGCAGTGGATCACTGATGATAATCAGTCTCCCTACAAACAATTGAGGGAGTTCGCAACTCTACATATATCATATATACTGATTTGCCCCAAAGCAGGCCTAGGAATTGATGTTTAAAGTAGGCAAAGGGAAATACTTTGCAATACACAATACACCGATTTTTTATTTACAATATGTTTCTTGAATTGTTTTTGGAAAGGGATGCAAAACGAGTTTTTTCTGTAGAATTGTTGTTGAAAGAAACAAGGAAAGCCAGCAAACAAATCCTTTCATTTCCATTGTTCTTTTTGATTCCTCTGAATTTGAATACTTAGGAGGACCTGTAAAGGTGGACCAGACCAGAGTCCCAGGACCGATCGACTAAGAATAGAACATAACACAACATAGAAACATAGTCGGAAACAAAAAGACATCAATAGAATCCTCAGCGGTGTAGTATTGGAACCGGAAAAAGAACCATGTATATATATATAATACACATTGGTCGGAGTCCGACCCCTAAACAATTACAAATCAATACCGAATCCGAGGGCACCTTTGGACTACACCCTTGAAAACTGTTGGACAGAATTAAACGAGGAAATTTGACAAACACTCCCAGGACCAAAAATGGACTGGAAAGAACAAGAAACGAGAACCGAAAGAAAACAGAAGGACATCAGTTAGCTACGGTATACTACATTATACAATCCGTGGTCAAATCCACAATATCTATTCTGGCGGGAACTTTGCTATTCCAACAGCGCTAGAATTTGGAATGCTTTTGCAAACGATCATTTTGGCCGAGGAGGGAGGTGAAAAAGTAAAGGAGAAGCAATTGCAGCAATTATCATGTAGTACAAATAATCAAACGGGGAGAGCCTTTGCGAAGAGAGGCTATGGCTTATTATTGTTATCATTGTTGTCTATAGTTGACTCTCCAACATTGTAGGTGGTTTCTGTGGTTTAGCACCAGTTGATGATGTACCTCGTTCCGGAAACCACAAACGCCACAAACATTATTGGTGTCCCATTATCTACGCACAAACACACGTCGAGCAAGGGCAACCATTCTGAGAATTCAGTAGTATGTGCATAAAGTTGGTACACAGAGACTGATGTTTATGTGCTTAATGCAAAACTGACATAGACTAAGGCGTTTATCGTTTTTGATCATGTTGCCAAAGAATCAACATGGCTAGCAGCAGCTGGCGAAAGGATATCACCTTGTCGTGACCTTGATGCTTCACAATCTTGTCGTCATGTCAAAGTGAGGCTGCCAGCGGAGGAGACAGCTTCAAGCGAGACTGTGCAAATTGGTCATGTCCTTGTTGTTGATATAGAAATCACACAGACGGACAAAAAGCAAGCAGGACAACTCGAATGCCAGCAAAGACTTCCGCAAACGTCGAAACATTTCCGCACAGTGGCAGTTTGTGTCGATTGCATTCAGGCACTCGGCTTTTGAAGCCTTGCACTCGCGTGCGCGCGGCAACTGCAATGGAGTCAGACCAGCTCAGACATGATTGATGTTCAGTCAATTTTTATAATATACTTTGCCGTTTGAGAGACTATGATGTCATGATGTGTTAGTGGGGACGATGTCTCCTACACTTGCCGCTGCTTTTCAAATTGAAGTTGCCTCCGCGCAGAAATCAGAGGCCGGATGGCCAGCATGTTCCAGCCTTTGTTTGCTCTGAGGTCGCCAGCATCGGAGCCACTTCAGGTGCACGGGTAGCTGGACATGCTAGTAATTACCAACTGTTGAAAGGGAAAAACCATTTGATGACCGTTTGTTTGGCTGGATAGTTTCAAGCCTTTTCCTTGTCCTCCAATTTATTTGAGATTGCTGAGTAAGTACATATCGGATGCAGTAGTACATTGAGGCAGCTTTATCCTCGTTCCAAGTTGATTGGCTTCAAACTTGCCCCAGCTTTGGAGCTTTAGGTTGGAGGCCATCGCAAGTCGGTTGGAGGCCATCGCTAGTAGGTTGGAGGCCATTGCTTGTAGGTTGAATTGTCTTCCCCTACAGCAAGAGTGCCATTGCACATTTCACCTGGCATCCGCAGTTTGTTGGAGCTTGTCAAGTACAGCTCCCATTAGCTATGCAGAACGCAGTCAAGGCGGACCTGCAACTGAGGTCAAGAGAAGTTGTGGACAGAAGGAAAACAATATTTGAACTAATCGAAGAGACCTTGCCAGCAGTGGAGTGCAAACCATTCTAAATGTCCTGACGACTGCAGATGATGTCATTTGGGAATGTGGGAAAAGCAGGCTTTTGTCGTTTCTGCTTGAAGTACTGCAGTTCCTAAAGCCCTTTCTACTCCTGTGCATTTCATGCTGGCTTTTGTTTCTCTTGTATGCAACAAAAGTGCAACTAGCACATTAAAGCCTCTGGCCCTCAAGAGCTGATTGAATATGATGGATTCATTGAATCAAGTAATGAATTAGCCTTGGCCACTTCTAAAGGCTGAACCCCCCAACACCAGGCCAAGATGCAACTCTGATCAATCTATGTGGCTGCATGCTTCTTTGTGAAACATGTTCCATGGAGATCAATGTCATTGTACATAGCATAATTAGCATTACTGAGTCTACATGAAACCTGACCGCAGCCCTTTTGGTTACAGCAAAAAGTTCGCATGGTAGCGGAGGAAGGATAGGGTTAAACCCCTTTGAGCTCCAGGAAGAAAAGCCCCTGGGTCACTGGGATCCCGGTTGCGATTTCGAGCCATAGATTTGGGGCCTTTGGAACCCAAACAGCTGGACTGGTGATAAATTGTTGTGAGCGACACTCTGTACCCCGTACGTTGTGTCAGAAAGACATTAGTGCGCAGTGGAGATGGAGGAGATGAGAGAAATCTTTCAAACTATAGCACAGAGTACGCTGGCAACAACATCAGCAGCTGAGGCAGTGAAGAAAGCAGTTGAAGACAAGAAATCATCAGCAACAGATAGGCCAAACTTGATAGCAGAGCCCAACATCTTTGATTATAAGCCACAGGAAGAAGAGATAAGGGCACTTAGAGATTGCTTATGGGCCTTCCAGTGCAGTGGATGAGGGCTACATGAAGGACCTGAAGGAAATTCATGAGAAGCCAATGACAAGTTTGACATGGACTTGGCAACTGCAGAGGAAAAGACAAGGTGCGTCAAGCTTTATGGACTTTCAGCTTCATTGATGAGGGGAAGGGCACTGCAATTAGTGCAAGCTGTGGAGGACTCCAATGAACT